CACACACACACACACACACACACACACACACACACACACACACATACACGAACGCCCCTGAAAACATAACCTTCTTGGCGAAGGTAATAAAGGGACGCCTCACGTAGTTTTTGTGGCTAAATGATTCGAAACAAATGAAGTATGATAATCATTGTTCCAAACTGTTCCAAATATCACACTCTGTAGTGACCATCCCTTACGTATAGAATCAGGCAGGCATAGCCGTACCCCTCTGAAAGATAGAACATGCGAATTCTGTAATCATTTATATGTTGAAAACGAGATACACTTTCTACTTGACTGTACATTATAGAAAGATGAATGCCAAGAACTTCATCTTTATATAATGTACAGTCAAGTAGAAAGTGTATCTCGTTTTCAACATATAAATTATAATGATTACAGAATTCGCACGACAAACTATGTAATTATGTTTCCAAATATTTCAAAAAGAAAGAAGAAAGAGCAACTAACCACTAACAGTAGATGATAGGTAGTATATAGTATTGTTATAATGTATAAATTCCTAGCAATCAGCATTAGAATATAGCGTCCCAGTATACAATACTCATGTTTTGCATACTGCATGTCCTCTTGTGCATTAAGCCCATCTGGGCAAGAACATGCAATAAAGATTCATATCATAACCTGCACACTTTTGATGTTGAACAGGTACAGAAGCCAGCTGTCCGGGACTACTCAGAGTTCAGCACCCCTCCCTCTTCTCCTGAACCCTCCATCGACCCCACCCCTCCCCTTACCCCCTCCCCCGCCCCTCATGCCCACCCCCACAGCCGAAGCCAAGCTGGCAGCCATCAAAGCTGTCAACATGTCCTGTAGCTCCAGCAGCAACAGTTCAAATGGATCCTGTGAGGACCTGACCAATCAGGAGCCCAGCAGCTTTGATGACCTGACCAATGGGAACACAGAGGCTGAGACAACAGCCAATGAGACCGAAGCTGCAGAGGTGGCTGCCCCAATCCAGCAGGTCAGTCCACTAACTTGTTATGAATAAAAAAAATTAAACTATTTTATTAATTAAAAGAATTATCATGACTGACTATGGGTAATAATTAGATTGATTCAACTTTTGAACACTCACTCACTCATTGCATTTGGGTATTTGATCAAAGTTTATTTTAGAGTCTTTGCTTACATTATGACACATTAGACAACAGATACAGGAAAAATCTGTTTGCAACATATTAAAACAAAATCCCTTCAATTTAAGCAACATTGCAGACCAAAACAAATCCATCCCCAGAATGCCTCATTAGGCCACCCGACTTAATTTTATGGATGACATCCTCTGACATGAAGACCCCCAAACTAGTGCGCGCGGGCGAATAAAAAAAAAATTCGGGCCAAAAATAAAAATGCCACTAAACCACAGGAATACAAACCTAGCCTGGTATTGTGAATTTGCGGCAGTACTTAGCGACGTCAGCCTTCTCAAAAAAATTTAGAGTAGGTGGCTGATAAGAAAAAGTAGCAGGCGAGCCACGAAGTGGCTCGAAGCGAGCCGCGCAGCGGCTCGCAGGGGGGAGGGTACGGGAGGGGGGTGGCCCCCCTCCCGTTGGGGGGGTCCGGGGGGCCTCCCCCGGAGGAAATCGTAAAAATTAGACCCCTAAACATCGTTTTTGGTACATTCTGAGCAGCTTTTATGGCAATCTTGTGGCTCCAAAATTTACTGTTCGTGCACAAATAATTCCGGAAAAAGGCTGTATTAAAATTGTTTGCCACTCCGATCGTATTACGCGCGGTCCTTGCGCCCGGCCACAAAATGCAGAAAAATAAAGAAAGCATATTTAAATGTCAATTTGATCGAAAAAATAATCATTGGGATGTGAAAAAATGTCACAGTTTCGCTTTTTGGAAGTTTTGTTTCTGTTTTGACGGTTTAATTCTAGCGGGGTGCGATCCATAAATGCCCTATGGAAATTCACCCCGCGTCCCGGTACACTGACTTCCGGGTTCCTTGAACAAGAAAATTACGAGAAAATGGCCAAAAATCGGCGTAGAGAAATATACATCTTCCCGAAAATTCTTTTAATTATGTATTTCTTTAATAGGATGTTGCTTAGTAGTCGTAGAAAAAACGTAGAAAGCAGCGTAAATGTGTCTCTTCTTCACCGGCGAGAGCCTGCCGGCGAGAAAAAATCTTCCCGCGCTGCCGGCTGCTGGCCACATCGCTTATCCAATCAGAACGCAGGTCATGTGAGGTAAACCAATCAGAGCGTCGATCGCACGCTGCTACTTAATATTCATGACAAGATGGCGCCTGAAAGCTCCTGTTTTTGTACAGCGATGCGGAGTGTTCGTGTTTTTATTCCGGGGATTTGACGCTGATTTTTGGCTAGCCGTGATTACGCTACAAATGACACACTAGTGGAGACAACAGATGAGTGATCATTTTACGATCGACAAGAACTTTTGATGAATGAAACAGCTGTGAAATCTCGCTGATGGCGATTTGTTTTTGAAAATTTGTCTCTGTGTATGAAAGATATGAACACGCTTCTATACATGTCTTGATATTTTTTGACGTGATTTGTACTAGTTATTTGTAGCAGGAATGTTACTAGTGCCGGGAGAAGTTGGGAAGGTAGCGGCTTGATAAATTTTCGTGAGCAACGAGTTTACGAAGCAAGTTCCGCCTAGCTCGAGCGATACAGCTCCGCGGATACAACTCGAGCCCCGAACAAGACCCTCCCCCCGTAAAGTTTCGGTCGCTCTGGCCGGCCGCGGGCCACTCGTAGAAGCAAACGCTGACTCGTGCACTAGAAATCTGCACAGGAGGCTAAGAAAGAAGCAGTTTTCAGATCCAGAAAGCTAGCAGAAATTTGTCTGAAGTTCGTCAGAAGATATGAGCCGGTGAAGTTTGTGAGAAAATGTAACGGAGCTTACTTGTTTTTCTGAAAATTTAGACGAGAGTAGCCGGCGCAAAAATTTGAAAATTTTGACGAAAGTAGCCGGCGCAAAAATTTGAGTAGGCAGCGATTTTCGCCGGTAGCCGGCTTGTTTTGAGAAGGCTGGACGTATACGACAAGTGCTAGCCGACACATGCTGGCTTTTTGCGGAATTTATGAATCGGCACTGAACGTGTATGTACTAAGGTCTTGAGTTGTGAAGCTTTGGTAGCCTGGGTGCCCGGCCTCGTATTGTCACTAAATTTCATGTACTACCCAGGCATAGAGCCAGGCCAGAGCCTCGGTGGACATGATCTTTTTTTTTTGAGAACGGGCGAAAATCAATGCACAAATTATGTCATCCATAAAATTAAGTCAGCCTGGCCTTATCCACTAGTCAGAGTGTGTTTTCTTGTAAACTTGTAGCTTGTTCCTAAGTGACTTACCATTGTGTTTTACCCCAGGAACCAGAAGACGGTTGTGAGGAGAGGTGGTTTGAACAGCAGGAGGAGGAGGAGGAGGAGGAGGGAGAGAACGCTGTAGCCAGGACACAGAGCTCCATCCCTGAATCTGCCAGGTGAGGCCATAACAATTTAATTTCTTGCTTATTTGTTTATTATAATTTTTCACAAAGTGAAAGGAAGGGCAAAACAAGTGCATACGCACCTTTACAAGTTGCCCTCCCCCATACAAAAACACATATACAACAACATCTTGGTTAACGGATTTTTCTAGAAAAATAATGGAGCGGGTGGGTGAAAAAAAAAAATAAAAATAAAAACAGGCCTATAGGCATCCTATTATGGCCCAAAATGGTACTATAGGAGCCACACCTGGCTGGTTCAAATGAATTTTGAACTTTTACAGATACCATTGCATTGAATGATGAGATAACTGTAACAGTAACAAGTAAGAAGAAAAGGACTGTTTTCAACCGTTCAGAGCAAAATATGAGCATTTTGCAGTTGATTCTGAATTTTTATTTTTATTTGCAAATCAGAAAAAAATGAAGCGGGCGAATCCGTTAACCAAGAGATTAAATTGGTGTGGCCTTAGAAGAAACAAGTGTGTAACATGGTATGTGCTCTACTTATTCATGTCCCTCATGTGTTTTAGTAGACCTTGTTTGAACTTCTCATGTGATGACACTGTTTGCAGCCCATGTGGTGGAGAGTTCCATGCTGCAGTAGTTCTGTATGTGAAGGCTTTTTTAGTGCTGTTTGTTTTTGGTTTGTCTAGTTTGAAGGTGTTCCGAGTAGCATATCTGGTTCTGTAAGTGTGTTGATGTGATACCGGGCACAGTTGATTGTAGAGTATGGCTGGTTGTTTGGAAGACAGGATTGTTTTCAAGGTGCACATGTTATTGATGTTAAGTCTCCTCCACAGGAAAAGGAAAATCATGTCCATCCAGTTTTAGCTCACTGAAGAGCTAATCTCCCACTGGACATAACAGAGAAGACAGACGCTATGTTCATTATTTCCAGATTCATCGTACTAGGGAAATTCCCCTAGCTCTTTTAAATGTTGACAAGCACAGAACATTGAACCACAGATTAACGTCCCGTCCTAAGGACTGCAACTCTTTCCAGTAGTGTGCATGACTGTGTGGATTCGAACTCCCAACCTCTTAGTCCAGAGGCAAGGCCGCTAACCATATTGGACCACGTCATACATGTGTACTACTGAAGACAGTTCACAAAGCTATCGTTTCGATCTGTACAAGTTCTTTGCAGCAATTTCTTCGCAGGCATAAAAACTCACTCAAGACTTAATTTTGCGCTTTTTTCTCCTTTTTTTCTCACATCTAGTCACGAGGATGAACACGGACCCCGCACTAACATTGAGGACTACCCACAATGCCCTGTGTGCGAGGTGTACTTCCCACCAGGGTGTAACGAGGTAAACAAATTCAGTTGTTCAGATTATTGTAGACGTTTTTTATGAGAGAAGTTTATTGCAAATCCATGCCCGAAGGCTAATTGCAAGTTACAAACATAAAAGAAGTCTGAAACAGAGTATAAAATAAGTTTAAAATGTACATAATGAAATCTAAGGCCACATCAATTTAATTTGTTGGTTCTCGGATTCGCCTCTTCGTTTTTTTCTGATTTGCAAAAAAAAAAAAATTGATTCTGGTCCTGAATCAACTGAAAAATGCTCATGTTTTGCCCCCAACAGTCGAGGAAAGTCCTTTTCTTCCTAGTTGTTACAGTTTTCCCATCTATCATTGCAGTGGTTTGATTAAAAGTTCAAAATTCAATGTTTAAATTTTAACCCAGCCTTTTGTATTGACTTCATGGCTCATTCCGTAGCATTTAAGCCTATAATGGGATGCCTAGACCTGTTTTTATTTTTATTTTTTTTGCCCTGTCGCTTCATATTTTTTCTGAAAAAATCCGAGAACCAACAAATTAAATTGGTGTGGCCTAATTGTCTAAAACTATTGCTATGTCAAAAACTATGTCTGAAGGGTTTGACTTCTCTTTTGTAAACCATGGAAGACGTAATGTCCCACATTTTCCAAAATTTGTGGGTTTTGGGAAGTTAAAAGAAGAATAGTTTTTTGTTTGTAAGTTTTGGGAAGTTGGGATAAATTGTAGAAGTTTGAATAGTCAACTTATTTTGAGCGTTGTTATGTAACGAACAGTTTGAAATAAAATGAATTTCGTCTTCCACAGCCTTCACACTACAATATTTACAAATCCTTTCACATCTTCTATACCGGCCTCTCTCTATTTCCAGAGGATGGGCGCTAACTCTAATTTTGCTAATGGCAGAGCGTATAGTTTGAAATCTGCAAGATTAAGATTTCGCTCTATGTTGTACATGGTTTTACATTTTGCATAAAATCTTAGCTTACCACTATATCTTTATAGTCTTTGAGTTTCAATCTTTATTTTCGTCCCACCAAAGTCTGACATGTTTCCTTGTCCATGTTTTCCCCAGGCTACCTACGATCTCCACGTACAGAGCCACTACGGCCGTATCTGTCCCATGTGCAACAACTTCTTTGATGACAACACCAGCGAAGCCGGGTTCATCGATCATGTCCAGTCTCACTTCGACCACGAGGGGTGAATCTCCAAAACAGGAGCGACCCTGAAAATCTCTCTTCTCAACCTTTGCAGTCGTTTTAAACAGTCTAATACTAGATGCCATGCTGGAAAATGTCCCTGTCTATATACAATTCACTTGTATAACACAAGTATATTGACGAATATACATTGTATGCTTTGATTTTGGTGACTGTTCTTTATTAAGGAACCTTAGGTGAATTGTTAGTAAGTTTGTCTCAACTGTAACTTTTACAACTTTGGTATTTTGTCACCCAAAATTTCATTCTTCTTCACTCATGCACCAATATAAATAATATGGGTAAAAGAACTATTAAATGTTACTACAAGTATTTCTTAATTTCTAATGAATTTCATGTACTTCTAAAGGGACTCAAGAAGTAGAAGTCTGTATGGTGAATAATAACTGGCAAGCAATACAGTATAGCGTTAGAGACAAGGCTTGTTGTGTTTTCACCCTTTTTTCTGAGAATTTGTTTAAAGACTGGTGGTACAAATTAAAAGGCCGTAATACAACCACAGTACAGTCTTTTGTATAGGGCAGATTTTTTTTTCTTATTTGTTGATTGCCATATTTCATTAATTATAGCTTCACAAATAATTTTGATGTAAATACTGTGTCATTACTTAATCTACCAATATGTTAGCATCCACGAATAATTGTGTCACAAAAATAAGAACGACAACAAACACATTAGTGCTGTGCTTAAAAAAGCGGTTTTGATTATTATAAGCAGTTATGATTGGAAACAAATTGCTTGTATGAAATGTGACTCCATATTATATAAAACAACTTTATGCTAGTTTGAGAGAAATGTACAAAACTGCTGGATAGCAGTTTTATGTATTCCATAGTGATTATCCCAGTACCTAACAACTGCTGTGTGTTGGTGGTGGTTAATTTTTCAATGATCTTGAATGTGTATTCTGCACATGCTATGCAGAAGTCTACATAATTATAAACAAAATGCACTTTTTAAAGTTGACAACAATCACGCCTTTTTTCGGCACTAAAGTAAGAACGTAGCTTCTGCTTAGTAGTTTAAGATATGTACGCTAAAGCTTGTCTATCCTTAAACTATTCCATTTGTACACATTTGGCATAAAACATGTTACACAAAATGTAAAAACTGACAAGCAGATAACTTGATGAATTAATGAGGAAAAAGGCTGAAGAAATGAGGAAAGGGTATATTTTGTGAATGTGAAACGAGAAAGAAATGTTTCAATCCTGATAATGAGGTCTGAAAACATGGTATGAAAAAGGGAACCTGGTGAAATTCAAGTTACATGACAGGTGTAACTTTGTCGTGATGAACTATTTCAATACACTCATCTGTCCTTGTAAGATACATGTAATTCTTGTTAATAAATATCAAATATTGACAGTGTTGTTGGACCTTGTTTGTGTGTTTTGTTTTCCTAGTGTCCAAAGGTTTTCTCTGGCAGATATGTAGAGAAACAACAAATTAAATTGATGTGGCCTAAAGCAATTCTGCAGTACAGAAGTCACACAAGGAAGTTGGTGTCATCAATTTAGAGTAGACATAACACTGCCGAGAAAGTTTCATTACTAGACTTAACACGTATCTCCCCTCAAATAGAGGGACAAGTCTCCAACGGCAGTTGTCTTCAGCTAGCCTCTACCAGGCTTGGGGAGGCGGCTGGAAAGAGTAGAAATCGGCCAAAATAGAGACAAGCATGCCAAGCGAGCGAGGACCTTGAGCGTAACCAAGTCATCCGGCAGCTCGCTGCAAGCATCCCAACTCGATTCTGCGTCCACTCGATTCTGCGTCCACTGCTTGACAGACTATTACCCTACAAAAAGGGGAAAGTTACCTCTAGGGACAAGGAGTGGATAACGCCCCGTATTAAAGGACTGATACTCGAGAGGCAGAAAGCCTTTATGTCGGGGGACACAACCGGCTACAAACGCCTCCGGAATAAGGTACAACAATGCATGAAGACAGCTAAAAAATCCTTCTATCTGAAAGAGGTCGATCATCTAAAACACGGGGACACACGTAAGTGGTACGGTCTTGTGAAGTCCATGATGGGAACTCCGAAGCAGAGAGGAGGCAGCGTGCCGACTCCGGGCATAGACTGTGAGTCTCTCAGTGAACATTTCGCATCCGTCTGGTCAAGTGTAACCCGTAATACACCCGGGATTTCGGATGTCTCGCATCAGCTTTCTGATGGTACAATACCGGAGCTGAGTATAGGACAAGTTAAACTGCAGCTTAAGAAGGTCAACCCACGTAAAGCTACCGGGGATGACCACATACCGACTTGGGTCTTGTCCACTTTCCATGAGGAACTTGCTCCTGTACTTTGCTGTATCTACAACTCTTGTTTGCAACAGGGTATCTTCCCTTTACAGTGGAAGTCAGAGATGGTTGTTCCAGTGCCTAAGACATCTAAACCAAAGGGTCCTGAAGAATACAGACGGATCTCTCTTACCAGCTGTCTGGGTAAAGTGCTGGAATCCTTTGTTCGTACGCTGCTACAGAGGGACACTGATCACCTGATCCATAACTCCCAACATGGTTTCAGGCCAGGGAGATCGACTGTATCAGCTCTCACACAGTTAACGCAAACCTGGCATGATGCGCTCAACAACAAGCCGAAAATGGATGTACATGTCTCGTTCGTCGACTTCAGTCGCGCGTTTGACACGATCGACCACGGTAGTCTTCTGCGTAGTCTGGCAAGAATGGGAATCAGACGGGACCTGTGGAGTTGCGTGAGAAGTTACCTGAGTGACCGTGTGCAGCGTGTCCGGTGGGATTCGCGTATCTCTGCCCCTCGACCAGTGCTAGCTGGAACACCTCAGGGTGGAATCATCTCGCCATCTCTGTTTGTCCTAGCTATGAACAGCATTGACAACAACATCCCACAGAGTGTTACACCTGTCAAGTACGCAGATGACTTAACGAACTCGGAACTTCTTATGGGATCACTACCAGGTCAAATGCAAGTAGCCATAAATGAAGTCGACACTTGGGCTAAGTCCTACAGTATGGCAGCAAACGTAGGAAAAACCAAAGACATGGTTATTAGCTGTCGTAGGGAGTCTGTGATTCCCCCTCCACTCACGCTCAACGGAGAGACTATAGAGAGAGTTCCTGCATTCAAACTTCTAGGGGTGATCGTCAGTAACGACCTGTCGTGGGGTGCACACGTTGAATACATGTTGTCCAAGGTCCGACCTCGCCTTCACTACTTGCGACTGTCCAAACGAGCGGGGCTTCCAGTAGACGTTCTGTTACAAATTTACAAGACATTTGTCAGACCAGTGCTGGAATACGGATCACCAGTGTGGGGAGGGTTACCTCGCGGGTTGGCTGACGAGCTCGAGAAAGTACAGAAAATCTGCTGCAGAATCATTGGAATTCCTTCCGGTCAACTGCCGACCCTGGAGGAGCGGAGACGTGAGGCAACCGTACGTGAACTCAGGAGGGTGATGGCGGATGACACTCACCCTTGCCAGCAGTTCCTTGAGCCGGGTAGACGGACAACCTACCAACTACGCCGTCAGACTTCCAGCTACAAGATACCACTTAGCCGTACAGAGAGACATAGACAATCATTTATCCCCAGATCACTCAACATCTTGCAGCAGTGAGGGACACTATAGACTTTTTAAAATCTGAAGGACACTATAGACTTTTATAAAAAAATTTTATTGCCTCCTTGTATTTGTATTCTTAAGTTGTTCCACTCAATTATTGTCTATATTTTAATGTGTTATCGATATTTTATACAATACGTCATTATCGGATATTTCTTTTAACACTAAATCTTTTTAACGCTAAAATGTTACAATTGTTATTATTAATATGGAATTACATGTGACTTGCAACACAATTCAGGCTGTTTCAGCCTGCAATGTTGTTTTGATGAATAAAGTTTTAAAGTTTCAAAGTAAGCAACCGGAACCAGCATGTCTCCCTCAATATATGGATCCGCTGGGGAAGACGGGTGCCCAAGTGTGTGGGTCTCAGATTCGCAAACTGTATCCACCTGAAACAAATCCATGCGAAGGCCGCCGTCAACTGTGACCCTCACTCAGGTGTAGGGACTGACACGGTCATCCTACTCGGAAAATCTGTATCTGTATATATTAATTATCTGTACATGAATCTGTATCTGTGCATGACTATGTATCTGTACATGAATCTGTATCCGATTGCAAATAAAGATCATGAGTGATTGCCAGAGAGATTGATATATTGTATTCAAGCATGATGACCAGTTATCCTTTAGGTCAGTCTAAGAGTTTATTTTCATCACAAATCATGCATCAAACATCAAATTGCTCAACACAGGCATGGAGAAAAAAACTTCTGATACTTTGCTCACAAGAGACAACTGCGTTAAAAAAAATTGCAGATTACACAATCACCAGTCTTGGAGTAGCTCACTATTGTTTAACAGCAGTCTCACTTTATTTTTTATTACTGTATGCTTGAAATCTTTTATGACTACTGCTGTTTATAATTGTAGTTAGAAGAGAATACATAACAAAAACAGCAATATGAAAATGGCAACTGGAGACCAATCTGTGGGTTACCTGTCATGCCTCATTTCCTTCACCCTCTCCTATACATGGACATGTACATGTACATGCCTCAGTGCACTAAAATATATAAGGCCACAGCAAGTAAATTTTATGGATGACATCCTTTGCAGAGTCTAAATCCAATGTTAGTGGGCAAACAAGACAGACCGAAAAACAAGGTTCCTACATAATTTTAAAATTTTGACTCAATCATTGTACAAATGGTTTTGATTCATTGGGAACATCACATATACACAGCCAGCATCACATATCACTGCATCAAAGTACAAAAGAAAACATTAAATCATAGCATTTTCTTGTCTCCTCTCTTCATAGTTATCTGCCATCCACCTTCCAGCATGGCAACAGACATCTTTGCCCATTTTTGGCATGTTGACCACTGTCAGAAGGCAACAAAATTTCTTGTTTTTTTCTTTTCCAAAATCAGGCGAAAATTAATGCGCGTGCTGATGTCATCCATAAAAATTACTTGCTGTGGTCTGACAGGGAGGATAAAAATCACACCGTATATGAACAGACTGACTCAAGTAGTCCTCACTAAATCTGCAACTTACATCACTACCAGACTGAGTTTAATTATTATATAGCTGTGCGCATAGTCAAACAAAATACCCAGAACATACATACATTCAAACCCTGCGCCTTAGGACTTACCAAAATTACCTCTCTGTGTACTTCTACCCTGAGTTATTCCCCGTTTGTTATACTTGACCAAGTTTTCTTTCCACACTAAAACTGCCATAACCTATAATCAATTTCATATAACCAACTAGTAGTAAAACTGCTTAGAAAGAAATAGAACAACTTTTGTACTACACTGTGCTATTTGGCCATTGCAGTCATCTGCAAACCATAACTTTCGTTGCACAAGACTTACCCCTTCAAAATTTAATCCAAATTCTAATGGCACACTGTAATCAAAATGTTTCAAGCTAGGGCAGTTTTATTAAATTTTATGGTACCTTATGAGGATTGCAAGTAGTGCTGTGTACCTAAACCCACATTTAGGTTCAGGTCCGGATTCAAGTCCAGAGGTTTAGGATCAGTTCCGGACTTGTGTGGACCTACATTGTAAACCCATGGCAAAATTGTATGTTGGCAACCTTGCAATGTTGTTTGGGCAAAACTTTGGCCACATAACATGGAGGCCGATACTTGACGATGCCCGATGGCAATGTTTTCTTCATTTTGCAGCAAAGATCTCTGCAAGGTTTTGGGTGGTTTGGAAAGAAAAGGGGTATGTGAATGTTTTTTTTTTGTAATAAGTCCGGACTTGGTTCTTGACTTTTAGGTTTTTTTTTACTTTAACCTAAACATTCTTACAAGTCCGGATCCAAGTCCAGTGAAGCGGTACACAGCACTTATTGTAAGCATTTTACTCTTGAAGTCTCATAGATAGAGTTCATACAGTCAGGTACACTGTAGTACAAGCTTGGTAATACAGTAATGTATTATGATCATAATTTAACTTCCTATGAATTCTAAAGTAGAGCACAAAGGTACATGTAGGGAACAAAACTTGGCATACTGTGATGTTATGGCAATCACAAAACAAAGAAAGCTTGACTGTGTCATTATGGAAACCATATTTAATTCAAGAAGCTCCCACCAAGTTATGTACACAACATGTTAAAACATAGATCCACTGCTCACAGAGTCACGTGTGTTATCTGTGTGACGTCACGGAAGCGGTGGATTGTTCATTCCTTGACAAAGACTGCAGTAAGTTGTACAGTCGAAAATTTGGGTGAGTCCAATTTGTTGTGTTGGAAATTACAGTTCAAACTTGCTTCATAACTCTTAAAACCATGTTCCCTTCTGTAAAATCCTCATTCACACCCTACTACAGAGGTGCTGCATGGTTTGCCGTCAAACACAGATTTGATACCTCTAAAACTAAGTTGTAGCCACTTGTAGAATAGCTCAGATAGACCACACAACACCATAAAATGATACATGTATGTAACACCAGCCTAGGGCACCTAAAACCAATACGTCCAATACGTAACTAAACGTTCATCCTACACGAAGAAAACAACACATTTAAAGGTCTCATTTTTGCTTTTGGCAACTCAGAATTTCATGCATGCTTTTTTTAATACACTTTTTTTAATACACTTCAAGACCAGACAGATGGAACGACCAGTTGGTAAAGATCGATGTGTGTTCATCGTTTAACTTTTGCGTTTGCTGTTCTCAACACGCTTTGTTGTTGTTGTTTATTTGCTTGTTGTTTGTTGTTGTGCTAAAAAAACACCCTGTACAAGCTGTGGGCACCTCGTCCACTGTGTCCAATAGTTGGTGCCTGTTTACATGTGTTCAGGATGGTTCTTCAGGCAGGAGATGAAGTCTTTAACGGGCATCCCTTCATAGCAGATCTTGTGAATGGCCACAAACAGAGGAAACCTGCAGGTGAGAAGAGTATGGAGTTAGACATCAAATTTTAATCTAAATCATAACACCTACATCCATATACAAAGAAAGAAAAAGATAAATTGGAAAGGGTACAGAATCAAGCTGCAAGATTCTGTAGGAACTAGAGGTGCTAGTGTCACGGAAATGAAAAGAAACCTACAGTGGGTCTCACTGGAAGACAGAAGAAAAATGTCCAGACTATGCATGATATACAAAATGACTTATAAACTGGTGGACGTCCCAATTACTAAGTACCTAATATCAGCCCAGAAAAGAACAAGAAATAGTCATGCCTTAAATTCAAGTACCAGAGTTATCAACCAAGGATTGAGGTGTTCAAGAGTTCATTCCTTCCTAGAACTATCGCAGAGTGGAACTCACTGTCACCAAGTACAGTAGGGGCATTGTCATTATATAGCTTTAAACAATGTCTAGAGTTAGAAGTTCAAGGGTTAGGTGTAACAAGTCGATCAGTGTAATGTAGCCAGCTGCCACTGCGCCGCGTGCCTGTAAAGCTGGTGTGTTTCCTGAAGGCAGTTATACCGGCTAATATTATGCAGATACAGATCTTTGACTTCAGGAGGGTTGCACTGTACACAAACATGGTTCTATAAAAAGTACAATGTCTTTACTGTAACAATAGCTTTTAACATGACAAGATGTCTACTTACTGATCTTCACAGTTCTTTTCCTTAAGAAGATGGTACACCTCCTTAGCTGTGGGGGGTCCCTGGATCTTCTGTCCATTCAACATCTCCTGCTCTAGCTCATCTATTGTCTGGAAAAAATTCATGAATTTTACATTTTATATAAAACATCTGAAATAATAAATTAATAAATTTTCAGCATTTATCCTGAACACGCCAATAAAGGCATCAACTGGTATCTGCTATCTTTCATCTGTGACTGAAAATTAGTCTGAAAACAAGTGTAACTTGCAGAAAAATGAGCCTCTCAAGTGGTATGTAAATAAGTTGCCGATCTGAAGAAGGCCCCTTGTCAGTGTTGGTTTTTAAATTTGCTCATATTAATGGTTTCTTGTACTCCCTTTTCGAAACAGCCAGACTCAAGGACCATAAGGCCACAGCAAGTAATTTTTATGGATGACATCAGCGCGCGCAATAGTTTTCGCCTGATTTTGAAAAAAAAACAAGTTGCCTTCTGACAGTGGTTACCATGCCGAAAATGGGCAAAGATGTCTGTTGCCATGCCAGAAGGTGGATGGCAGTTAACTATGAAGAGAGGAGACAAGAAAAGGCTCTGATTTAATATTTTGTTTCTTACTTTGATGCAGTGATATGAGATGTTGGCTGTGTACATGTGATGTTCCCACTGAATCAAACCCATTTGTACCATGATTGAGTCAAAGTTTTAAAATGTAGGAACCTTGTTTTTTTTCGCCCGCTCGCATTAGATTTGCATTAAATTTGGAGTCTGCGGGGGATGTCATCCATAAAATTTACTTGCTGTGGCCTAAACACACTGTCAGGCAGGATTGTCCCACCTTTCCACTGGTTACGAAGGCTTCAGCCACCCTGCGGTTCCTCCCTCCATAACATGTTGTCACCAGGTCAGCAATCCCACAACTCTCTAGGAACGTGGACGTCTGGGAGCCCTGCAGACACACACAACGTTTCTTCTCATTTATCAACATCTACAACAAGGTAACATGTATATAAGACATGTACACAAAACGGCCTGGGAAAGGTAGTCCCATAGCCTTTTTGAGACCGCAGGGGTGCCAGAGTACATGTGTGTATACAGTGCAATTTTACGGAATACAGTGCAAATTAAGTTTACTACTAGTATACAGTGCAATTTTATGGAATATAGTGCAAGTTTACTAGTGTACAGCGCAATTTTACGGAATACAGTGCAAGTTTACTAGACTAAGTNTATGTAACACCAGCCTAGGGACACCTAAAACCAATACGTCCAATACGTAACTAAAACGTTCCATCCTACACGAAGAAAACAACACATTTAAAGGTCTCATTTTTGCTTTTGGCAACTCAGAATTTCATGCATGCTTTTTTTAATACACTTTTTTTAATACACTTCAAGACCAGACAGATGGAACGACCAGTTGGTAAAGATCGATGTGTGTTCATCGTTTAACTTTTGCATTTGCTGTTCTCAACACGCTTTGTTGTTGTTGTTTATTTGCTTGTTGTTTGTTGTTGTGCTAAAAAAACACCCTGTACAAGCTGTGGGCACCTCGTCCACTGTGTCCAATAGTTGGTGCCTGTTTACATGTGTTCAGGATGGTTCTTCAGGCAGGAGATGAAGTCTTTAACGGGCATCCCTTCATAGCAGATCTTGTGAATGGCCACAAACAGAGGAAACCTACAGATGATAAGAGTATGGAGTTAGACATCAAATTTTAATCTAAATCATAACACCTACATCCATATATACAAAGAAAGAAAAAGATAATTGAAAAGGGTACAGAATCAAGCTGCAAGATTCTGTAGGAACTAGAGGTGCTAGTGTCACGGAAATGAAAAGAAACCTACAGTGGGTCTCACTGGAAGACAGAAGAAAAATGTCCAGACTATGCATGATGTACAAAATGACTAATAAACCGGTGGACATCCCAATGACTAAGTACCTAATACCAGCCCAGAAAAGAACAAGAAATAGTCATGCCTTAAATTCAAGTACCAGAGTTATCAACCAAGTATTGAGGTGTTCAAGAGTTCATTCCTTCCTAGAATTATCGCAGAGTGGAAATCGCTGTCACCAAGTACAGTAGGGGCATTGTCATTATATAGCTTTAAACAATGTCTAGAGTTAGAAGTTCAAGGGTTAGGTGTAACAAGTCGATCAGTGTAATGTAGCCAGCTGCCACTGCGCCGCGTGCCTGTAAAGCTGGTGTGTTTCCTGAAAGGCAGTTATACCGGCTAATATTATGCAGATACAGATCTTTGACTTCAGGAGGGTTGCACTGTACACAAACATGGTTCTATAAAAAGTACAATGTCTTTACTGTAACAATAGCTTTAACATGACAAGATGTCTACTTACTGATCTTCACAGTTCTTTTCCTTAAGAAGATGGTACACCTCCTTAGCTGTGGGGGGTCCCTGGATCTTCTGTCCATTCAACATCTCCTGCTCTAGCTCATCTATTGTCTGGAAAAAATTCATGAATTTTACATTTTATATAAAACATCTGAAATAATAAATTAATAAATTTTCAGCATTTATCCTGAACACGCCAATAAAGGCATCAACTGGTATCTGCTATCTTTCATCTGTGACTGAAAATTAGTCTAAAAACAAGTGTAACTTGCAGAAAAATGAGCCTCTCAAGTGGTATGTAAATAAGTTGCCGATCTGAAGAAGGCCCCTTGTCAGTGTTGGTTTTTAAATTTGCTCATATTAATGGTTTCTTGTACTCCCTTTTCGAAACAGCCAGACTCAAGGACCATAAGGCCACAGCAAGTAATTTTTATGGATGACATCAGCGCGCGCATAGTTTTCGCCTGATTTTGAAAAAAAAAAACAAGTTGCCTTCTGACAGTGGTTACCATGCCGAAAATGGGCAAAGATGTCTGTTGCCATGCCAGAAGGTGGATGGCAGTTAACTATGAAGAGAGGAGACAAGAAAAGGCTCTGATTTAATATTTTGTTTCTTACTTTGATGCAGTGATATGAGATGTTGGCTGTGTACATGTGATGTTCCCACTGAATCAAACCCATTTGTACCATGATTGAGTCAAAGTTTTAAAATGTAGGAACCTTGTTTTTTTTCGCCCGCTCGCATTAGATTTGCATTAAATTTGGAGTCTGCGGGGGATGTCATCCATAAAATTTACTTGCTGTGGCCTAAACACACTGTCAGGCAGGATTGTCCCACCTTTCCACTGGTTACGAAGGCTTCAGCCACCCTGCGGTTCCTCCCTCCATAACATGTTGTCACCAGGTCAGCAATCCCACAACTCTCTAGGAACGTGGACGTCTGGGAGCCCTGCAGACACACACAACGTTTCTTCTCATTTATCAACATCTACAACAAGGTAACATGTATATAAGACATGTACACAAAACGGCCTGGGAAAGGTAGTCCCATAGCCTTTTTGAGACCACAGGGGTGCCAGAGTACATGTGTGTATACAGTGCAATTTTACGGAATACAGTGCAAATTAAGTTTACTACTAGTATACAGTGCAATTTTATGGAATACAGTGCAAGTTTACTAGTGTACAGCGCAATTTTACAGAATACAGTGCAAGTTTACTAGACTAAGTATACAGTGCAATTTTATGGAATACAGTGCAAGTTTACTAGACTAAGTATACAGTGCAATTTTATGGAATACAGTGCAAGTTTACTAGTATACAGTGCAAGTTTACGGAATACAGTGCAAGTTTACTAGTGTACAGTGCAAGTTTACGGAATACAGTGCAAGTTTACTAGTATACAGTGCAATTTTACGGAATACAGTGCAAGTTTACTAGTGTACAGTGCAATTTTATGGAATACAGTGCAAGTTTACTAGTATACAGTGCAATTTTACGGAATACAGTGCAAGTTTACTAGTACACAGTGCAATTTTATGGAATACAGAGCAATCGTATTAGTATACAATGCAATTTTACGGAATACAGTGCAATTTTACTAGTGACATTGAATCACGTGACTTGGACCCTCATTCAACGTTATTAGTAGAATACTAGTAAAATTGCACTGTATATTAATACGATTGCACTGTATTCCATAAAATTGCACTGTGTACTAGTAAACTTGCACTGTATTCCATAAAATTGCACTGTGTAGTAGTAAACTTGCAAATTGAATGTATTCCGTAAAATTGCACTGTATACTCTGGCACCCCTGGACCACATGCGTTAATCCACTGTGTCTAGAGCATGGCATCTGAAGATGAAGCCAATCCCTTTCCTTCCACCACTACGTGCACCTTTTTTACCTCCAAACCTACACTGTAAGTCAGGTACACATTTACACCTTAGGTGAAGCGAGGAAAGTCGTGTTAGGTGCCTTTCCCAAGGACACAACGCCTTGCCAGGAATCAAACTCAGAGACTAGCAGGCTGTGAGGCAGATAGCTTAGGAGAAGCTGTAAGAAAGACCACATCTGAAACATGCATGTTCTGTGCTTGTACATGTACAATGTAGCAGGTGAGTACAGACTGAGTTAAGAACTGACATCAAATAGGTCAAGCGATTCCACCACCTTGTGCAATATTATTAGACATTAAAGCATGGTGAGTCCTGAAACATGCTTGAGGTGTTCCTCAACCTTAAAAGAAAACAGTACAAACTTGGGGATTCTTAGACCCTCCAGGCTGAAGTCTCTGTAACAAAGAAAGAGACAGTTTTATTTTGATAATGGTGGATGTTTCTGTATCACATAGCTGCAATAAGTTGAAATGGCNAGAATACTAGTAAAATTGCACTGTATATTAATACGATTGCACTGTATTCCATAAAATTGCACTGTGTACTAGTAAACTTGCACTGTATTCCATAAAATTGCACTGTGTAGTAGTAAAGTTGCAAATTGAATGTATTCCGTAAAATTGCACTGTATACTCTGGCACCCCTGGACCACATGCGTTAATCCACTGTGTCTAGAGCATGGCATCTGAAGATGAAGCCAATCCCTTTCCTTCCACCACTACGTGCACCTTTTTACCTCCAAACCTACACTGTAAGTCAGGTACACATTTACACCTAGGTGAAGCGAGGAAAGTCGTGTTAGGTGCCTTTCCCAAGGACACAACGCCTTGCCAGGAATCAAACTCAGAGACTAGCAGGCTGTGAGGCAGATAGCTTAGGAGAAGCTGTAAGAAAGACCACATCTGAAACATGCATGTTCTGTGCTTGTACATGTACAATGTAGCAGGTGAGTACAGACTGAGTTAAGAACTGACATCAAATAGGTCAAGCGATTCCACCACCTTGTGCAATATTATTAGACATTAAAGCATGGTGAGTCCTGAAACATGCTTGAGGTGTTCCTCAACCTTAAAAGAAAACAGTACAAACTTGGGGATTCTTAGACCCTCCAGGCTGAAGTCTCTGTAACAAAGAAAGGGACAGTTTTATTTTGATAATGGTGGATGTTTCTGTATCACATAGCTGCAATAAGTTGAAATGGCATTTTCTTCTTCAGTTCAACTGCTGGTATACAAATACTAGCTCTGGGCTGGAAATACTGGGTGCATGTGCACCTTAGTGCACCCAAAATTGAAACTGTGCACCCATTTTTTTCTGTGGGTGCACTGGTGCACCCAACTATTTCTGTAGGTATTTTTGTACATCTCAAATGTATGATAGTATACAGGATATTCTCGGCATCTAAGTGTCAGAAAAATGATAAAACCTTTGCTGTACTTAGCTCTCATTTCAGATTCAAGCTCAGAAGAGGAGCTGTAATTAGGTTTTATTTATATGGTGCTTTTGGCATCTTTATATGGTGCACCCAATCCCAAAAATGAATTTCGAGCCCTGTAGCTACATTGTATATAAGGGACTGGCCATGGATTGAACCCTTGCAACACATTAACATTACCCCAACTCATTAAGTGTAGTGTTAAACTTAAAGATCCCCCTTGCCTAATCCCCTTCCACATATCAGAAGAAGTCCGTACCTGGTAGAAAGTTTCGGTGAACTTGACCATCTCCATGAGGCCCAGCCGGATGACCGCTGCCTTGGTGTTGTCTCCCATACCCAGCCCATCCACAAACCCTGCTCCTGTCGCCACGATGTTCTAAAACACAACAGACATCAGTGTTACGAATACCCACATGCAGTCTGCATTTTGCAGAGACATTTTCAATACTGCAGAAGAAAACTTGAGCAACCTGCATTTTTGCACATTGAAAAAAAGGCAAGTTAGGCCACACCGACTTAATTTTATGGCTGACAGCCACGCGCGTATTGATTTTCGCCTGTTCTCAAAAAAAAAAAAAAAAGATAACATCCTCCGAGGCTCTGGCTTGGCTCTAGGCCTGGGTAGTCCATGGTAGTTAGCAACCAGGCTACCGAAGCCCCACGACTCAAGAACTTAGTACATACGTACAGTGCCGATTCATAAATTCCGCAAAAAGCCAGCATGTGCCAGCTTGTCGTATACGTCGCTGTGTACTGCCGCAAATTCACAATACCAGCTTTGCATTCCTGTGGTTTTGTAGCATTTTTATTTTTGGCCTGAATTTTTTTTATTCGCCCGCCGCACTAGTTTGGGGGTCTTCAGAGGATGTCATCCATGAAATTAAGTTGGTGTGCCTTAGGGAAGTTACTAAAGACATGTAGATCTGAATGGGATCCAAACTGTAGTGCTCTTTTAGTTGAGCACCCCAGAGATCCACAGATTTTCACATTAGACCGTACCACATTACAGAAAAGTGAGGGGGCATGTTGTTCTTACTGTACCCACCTTGAGGGCCCCGCAGATCTCCACAGTGGTAGCGTCCTCCACGACCACCACCCTGAAGTAATCTGCCTGGACTAACTCCTTCAACATCAGGCCATTCACTTCGTTCCTGCAGCCTGGAACAAACACAGAAAGTCATCTCCATAAATTATTCAGTAGTAGGGTCTTTGAAAAAAAACCTGTTTTCAGGTTGATGAAAGACTGTATTTTCTTCAATGCACACACCAACACACCCATCCATTAGTCCTTCAATCTATCCTTCCATCCATTCTTCTGTCCATTCATCCATCCTTGCATCCGTCCACCCATCCACCCATCCGTCCATCCATCTATCCACATCCATCCATCCATCCATCCACAACCATCCATCCATCCATCCATCCATCCACCCACATCAATCCACATCCATCCATCCATCCATCCACATCCATCCATCCACCCACATCAATCCACATCCATCCATCCATCCATCCATCCATCCATCCATCCACATCCATCCATCTATCCATCCATCCATCCACATCCACCCATCCATCCATCCATCCACATCCATCCATCCATCTGTAGGGAATGACATAAGGTGTTTAGATGTTGCATTAGGTAAGCCGTTTCGGACGTTCGAACGGCGACGTTAGCGTCCGTTCGACGTCCGAACGGCTACGTTAGGATCCGTACGTATACGTTAAGATCGACGACGTTCGATCACGTTCTTAGAATAAACGAGAGGTTTTTGAGTTGAAGTCTTTGTGTACGGACGTTTTTTTTGTGTGCTCTGTGTCCTCTTCTTTTCTTGTCTCCTGCTTTACTCTACACCGTGTACTCGGAGGCGGAAATCCCACGACGATCAACAACGAACCCCTTACATTTGGCGACGAGGATGGGATTTGGGATTTATCGCCGAGAACCTGAGA